TTGATTCTGCCCAGTAAGCCTCATCTCATCTTAAGACAGACCCAGAGTACTGACTCATAAATCAAATCACAGTTTGGCACAGTTCTGCAGCCTGGGCCTGCGTCAGACCTGTCTGTTCGACCCCTTGTGCGGTGTGGCCCAGTGTTAGCAGCCTGTTAAAGGTCTATCCTGGAGGGGATGGATTCACTTGTGTGGTACAACAACACAGGAAAGTGCCTGGAGCTCTCCAGGAGCTCCCCCCACCCTTCCCCAGCTGAACCAGCGAGCTGTTCCTTATGAACCACTGCCAGCAGAATGCCTGCTATGAGCTGGTTATTACTCGGTGCTGGGCCGCCACTAGCCAAAGGGCTGCTCTCCGAGCTGTAGATCTCCATGTTGTGACTTTTCAACATGTGGAAAACCGTTACCCAGCGCAGGCACTTTTATTCCATACAGGCTTTGACTGAAACTTGGGTGGGTGAAACATTGTGTTCAGACTTTTTTTATTCAGAGTCTGTAGTGCTTCATTAAAACATATATGGACACAAGGTGTGTCCTACAGTTAGGAAAAAATCATTACCAAATGAGCATGTTGATTAACTACAGGCTCAGAAAGATCGATGGACAGGTTCAGAGCACAACAGTAAGGTGATTTTTTTTTGTGTGTGTCTGTTTGTCTCACAAATGTTTTCAGTTGAATATATTTTAAAATAGAACTTATTCATATGATGGCAAAGCTGAATTCACAAGCAGCCATTACTCCAGTCTTGAGTATCACACGATCCTTCAGAAATCATTTTAATACACTGATCTGCTGCTCAAGAAACATTTATTATTATAATTTGAAAACAGTTGTGCTTTTTAATATTTTTGTAGAAACCGTGATAAATGTTGTTTATGATTCTTTAATGTAAAGTTACAAAACAGCATTTATTTGAATTTGAAATTTTTTTGTACTTAGGTTTTGATCAATTCGATGCATCCTGAATAAATAACTGACCCCAAACTTTTGAACAGTAGGCTAATGTATATTCACACTTAAAATTTTAAAAACAAAAGCATGTCAAATAAATATTATAGTTTAAAGCGATTTTTAAAATTGATTTCAAAATTATTTTAAATATTATTATACATTTTCTACACATTTAAATCGAATTTAAAAGAAGGAGATAATATTAAATATTAACAGCTGACCTGTATAATAGATTATACAGTTAATATGATCACCCAAGAAACACCAAGAATTCCTAAACACCGATGATGACTATGAAAACATTTCTGAGTGGCTTGTAATTTTAAATCCATTTACACTGACGCTACCAAGATGATCCAAATCATTCTTGGAATGTTGTCAAAACCTCATCTGTATTAAGCCAGCTAGATCATTTTAGCTGGCTAACAAGTTTAAAAAGTTGACAAGCAAAGTTAGCAACCAAATGGTACAGAAAAGCAAATGTTTCTGTTTGCAAAGTGTAAAAATGCAAATGCATGATCAAAACATATAAGATATAGTGCAGACTCAATAGAGCAAGCGGTCCTTCCCAACCTTACTGCTGAGCCCTGAGCTTGGCTTCAAGACTGATTCAGTGCTTTCATAGGCTACTTCGTGGTTTGTCATTTTAAAGATGAACCTTCTTACACATGACGAGCCTAGTCCGTGACAATCATCGAGCCGTACAAAAATGAGAATGTTGTCAAAACCTCATCTGTATTAAGCCAGCTAGATCATTTTAGCTGGCTAACAAGTTTAAAAAGTTGACAAGCAAAGTTAGCAACCAAATGGTACAGAAAAGCAAATGTTTCTGTTTCTGCATGATCAAAACATATAAGATATAGTGCAGACTCAATAGAGCAAGCGGTCCTTCCCAACCTTACTGCTGAGCCCTGAGCTTGGCTTCAAGACTGATTCAGTGCTTTCATAGGCTACTTCGTGGTTTGTCATTTTAAAGATGAACCTTCTTACACATGACGAGCCTAGTCCGTGACAATCATCGAGCCGTACAAAAATGGTCTTAATTATGTCACCACAGTGCCTTTGACTGAGCACTCACAGCTAGACTACACCTGTGATGAAAGCCAGGCGATCCAGCTAGCCAAATTAATCTAAATGTTCTGGTTCAGTATGCCTGGCTGAAGCCCCTTTCTGTGTGAGCACTTGTTCAGGAGAGCATCCACCACCCTTCCCCTGCCCTTTAATTCATTTCTGAGAGGAAAGCCTGTGTATCATTATTCGCTTGAGCTCAAATGGGCAGACACCGGTGAGAGAGCCTGATCAAGTTGGTGGGGCAGGGGGAAGAAAGAGGAGGAGGAGGAAGAGGAGGAGGGGGTATTCTTGGCAGATTTTCCCTACAAATCAGATGCCAAGAGCGAAATGGAAACCTCCCCTCATTTTCCTTTCCCCTTAATCCAATGTTTTCAAGCCCAAGCCCAGCCAAGGTCATTATAATCATAGATGAGTGGAAAGCAGCCAGTGACCCACCATTACAGTAAGGTGGAGAGCCACCCAGTCGCACACACTCTGCCGTCAGTCTGTAATGGAGAGCTGAAATCCGTGCAATGCTCCAATTCCTCCATTTGCGAATGCAGATAACCTTAAAGATCCTGTGTGTATAATGGAAATGGCCGGCTCCCATAGGGAGACATTTTAGCTGATGGCAAAGGTCAGGGTGAAAGAATGATACGGGCTATGTACTTGCACAAAATGGAGGCTTGCGAGCAAGACAAAGAACCAGCAGAAAAGGAGAAAAAGAGGTAACCTCAGTCGACCTCTACACCTCCGAGTGGAAATCTGAGGAAACCAGCTTAAAAAGACAGGAACATTTTAACCTAGGCTCCCTTTTCGCGATTAGTTTACTGGAAGTTTGCTGAACTGTGACCTGCAGTTTGAACAAAATATGCATTCTGGAAAAAGGAGTGCAACAGTGTTATACAGGCCGTGGTTTTGTAATACCAGTGGTTAGCACTAAAGCTAAAGGTCATATTTAACTGTCAAGAAGATCACCAGACTGTATCAAGGCCCTCTTGCAGGTCTTGACCCATGTGCATCGTGACGCAAGCACTCCTGAACTCAGATATGTATTCTTGAGAAAAGGAAGTGAAAGATACACTTGCAAAAGGATATGCCACAGCCTTTACACGGAAACGTTCGCCTGGCACGTTAAGAGCACACAAACAGTTGCAGCACACAAGTTCCACTGTCCTGAACTCAAACTTTAAATTTAGATCAACAATTGTGCTTGTCGTCTGCCTCTCTGCTCACAGGTGTTAAAGCGAAATGAACACAAACAGAACGTAATGAAACGTGACATCACGCTGCGTGGAGCGCCACCAAACTTCAGACGAGCTTTTGCTGAGTGGGTGATTTTGAGAGGTGGGACAAACGGCAGTAGATATTATGGCTAGTTTCTAAACAACCATGACTGAAAGAAAGTTATTAAAGTTATGAAAAGAAAATGATCATTTAGTTATAACACACTTATTATAATATTAAGGTTTATGTACCATACCCTGAGTTTCTGTTACTAAATAACTTTATATGTTTATTTAATAAGTTAAGTTTGATGAATAAGTTTAGTTACAACACTTTATCATTATAATATAGTGGTTTATATCCTGCATTTCTATTAAACAAGTTTTCCTAACATCTAAACGATTTCATAAAACTCAATAAGTTCCACATGACTGCCTTCTACATGTTGTTACACTGTAAAGCAATTCACTAAACCCACCAAAAAGTGTCTTTATTTTAAAATCAAAATCAAAAAGTGACAACTTTGAACTGCATTACCTACTGATGAAGAGTTAAAGGCGAGTAGAAATGACAGAAATGACTGTGACAAGTTCAATGGATGTAAACAAACCATGGCTGGCATTATGAAGGAACATCAGCACAATGCAATGCTGCTAGAATACAAGCAGAAAATTCCAGAGAGCAGCAAAACACAGTGTCTCAGACTTTCAAAAAAAACAAAGTCCCAAAAGGCGCCGTTTCGCTTATGAATGGCAACACGCACAAAGATGCATTATGAGCGCCTGCTTCCGTGCCCTTAAAGCGCCACCGTGCCACATTTCGCCAATTCCTCTGATCGATGTTTTCCACACTCTACACATCATGTCCCCTCTAGCGGCCGGCTCACGCAACTACAGCCGTTATTAGCGAGCTGATAAAAGCACAATGTTAACATCCAGCTACAACAGGGTCAAATGAACAAATTTCGCGATTAGTAATCCCAAACGCAACCCGTGCAAAGCAGCGCAAACCGTGAGATTTCCGTCGCACGAGCTTCGAAGCGAGAGAAAAACGCGTTTCGCCTTTCGCGCGTTATTGATCGAGGACTGTCTGCAATGAATGGCTGCATGAGGAAGGGAAAAAACCCTGAACTTCAGGTGACCGACCATGGCTTTGACACAGGCAGCCTGCAGACACGAACCTCGCTGAACTGGGAGGGGTGGAAGAAAATACCTCAGTTTAAAAAAAATCCCGCTCGACAAACGAAAGAAAACAGTCGCGCGCGCACACACACACGACACGACACGAAGTTGTACGAACGTCTTTTAGGACGCATTTTGAAGTTGCGGACTGCTGCTAGATAGCGCTGGAGCTAAGTAACGTTAAAGGCAGGGGCACGGGTAGAAGGCTGAGTCTGGCTCTCAGTCTGATCCGACTGACCCTTCATTTTATTGCGGCCAGATCCTCCCCTTTCCCTTCCGCGCGTCTCTGCCTCGCTCGCACGGACACATATAAGAAACCATTAGCGCTAAATAAGCGGCGATAACGCGAGCTTTACTGGCCGCAACCTTTAGGCGGAATGGGACCTTTATCGATTATCTGCAATTAAAGGCACCGCTAGTGCGCTCGCTCCGCTAGCCCCCTCATCGCCAACATGGCTGCCTAGCACAGACCTAAAAAAGGAGAAATAACCTCCGCCGTGCCTTTGTCTGTTTCACCTCTTTAACCCTAAACTACTGCGCAAAACACACGGAGAAGCGCTAAAATCGCGCCGAACGAGAAAACGACTTACGCGAAGGCAGGCGCTTGGGTTGCTCCTGTTTCCTCCTTGGCATTTTCCCCCTTTTATCACATTCTCCTTCTTGTTTAGGGATAAGAAGAAAAAAGGTCTTTTCCCATTGAAATTTTGCGAGGGAGCCTGATGGCAGGGACTTGTCGTGCACCTGGCTGTCCTCGGTTAAGTGTATTGTTGGGAACAGGGAAGAGTAGAGGAGGAGGTGCTGTTGTTGTTGCCGTGTCTTGACTATGGCTGCTCTCTGTAAGTGTGTGTCTCCGAGCCCCTAACTAACACTAATGCAGGGATCAAAGGGCAGCAACAGCAGAGCACACACGCACACTCTCTCACTCTCTCTCTCTCTCTCTCTCTCTCTCTCTCTCTCTCTCTCTCTCTCTCGCTCTCAGAGAGAGGAGCTCGCCCGACAGAGCAATGAGAAAGGGACAAGGTGCCCCCAAGCTTTTAGGGTGTATACTTGACTGACCACGAAGGATTTTTTAAAATATTTATATAGAAAATGGATTCTGACTAATTACGGCTATATAGAAGGACAATAGGTTTCAAATGAATGGAAAAAAAAATCGTCATATTATTCTTTTTTCATGAATTATTTTTTAGAAATGTTTGAATCCGAGTTGACAGAAACCCCTAAATCACTGCAATTAATTTTAAGGTCGATGTAGCCTAATGATATAAATGTCAAATGGGATTTAAAATTAATAACCATATTTAAAAATGCATTTATGTATATATTTAAGTGCTTTTTATAAATGTTTGGTTGAATCAAATCAGTACAATTCCTTTTAATTGATGTAATGCTACAAATTTAAAAGATAGAATTTACAGTAACACTTTACAATGATGTCTGTTTGTAAACATTAGTAGTGGTTAACATGAACTAACAGTGAAAAATACTTTGAAAGCATTTATCAATATTAGTTAGCCTTTTATTAGTTTCAGTATTTACTAATATGATTATTAAAATCAAAAGTTGTACTTGTTAATATTATTTAATCAGCCTGAGCTACCATGAACTAACAATTAAGAGTTGTATTTTTTTTTATTAACTAACATTAATTAATGATTAATAAATACTGTAACAAATGTATTGCTCATTGTTATTGAATGAATTAACTAAAATTAACTAATTGGACCTTATTCTAAAGTGTTACGGAATTTACAATAAGCATATTATCTCATTTTAAGATTTCATAATTTTTTTATGATTATTATTATTACTACTACTATAATTGTATTTATTAATGTTAAATGTCCTGGCTAGCAATTGAATTATACTGATTGTGAGTTTCCGTACAATTGATATTGTAGTATACACGTATGTTATTCCGTAACACTTTACAATAATGCTTCATTTATTAACATTAGTCAACTACATTAGTTAACAAGAAATAACAATGGAAGTTATTATTAATGTTAATTTCAGCATTTACTAATACACAGCTCTATCTGTTAATATTATTATTAGCTAACATGAACTAACAGAACTAACAGTTGTTGTATTATTACTAACATTAAAAAATATTAATAAACACAGTAACTAATGTATTGCCCATTGTTATTTAATGTTAGATAATGCATTAATTCATTTGAACTAATGGGACCTTATATTCATACAGGAATGTCTTTTTTTTCTATCCAATAAAAATAAAAGCTTCATTTTTTAAATGAAATTTTATTGTATGGTAACAACCATAATGTGACTTTAAATCATAATTTGATTAACAGATCCCCCTCCACCCCCCACACAAAAGCACACACACAAAATATTCTGTTCTATGCATAGCACTGAAGCAGCCGGCTGTTCCCTACTCAGGGCTGGACTCCAGCAGGCAGCATGTTGTTGGACAAGTTCGTTCTTTCACACCTCTTTGGTGTTAGGAGGACTGTATCCTCCCTCATGCCATGCTGCCATCCTCCTCGCAACCATCCACACGTGCAGCTCGTTACCGTGGCAATTAGCACAGGCTCAAATTAGCCCACTTCGCCTCTGCACAGGTGACTGACACACACTTTGTAGCTCGCTCATTAGAATATGGCTGCCTCGCCATTCCTCTCTCTCACTGTCACCCCTTCAAGACCACAGAGAGGCGGTTGAACTGTACACTTTTGGACATTGGTCATAGCGTTTACATGTGTACCATAGCAAAATAATAATCAATTCTATTCATAGGAGTCCAGTATTATGTTTTCCTTACTGAATTCTTTGTGCATACAGCTCTCATTCCCTTATATGTTGGATGTGTGATATTAGGAAACACTATTTATGGTAATCTCACAAAATCTCCCCATGCATGTGTGTGCGCTGCTTGTTATTGTTTAAGATTAGTTTAGTCTCCATGGCGAGGTCACGGTCTGTTCTGTAACCCTGCCGATGCCAGGCAGCTGAGGTAATGCGTGCAAGCAGACAATCTGCTGATAGTAGTCATGGCAACAGCAGCATGACCTCACACTTGGTAGCAACCTAAAGGTCACCTAACAGACATCATGTTTTGATGGGCACAGTATCAACTGAACCTGACGGTGACAAACATCTGTGAAAGAAAGGAGACTGGTTCCATTGACATATCTGTTTCCATTTGATACTTGAACCCTTTCATTCACACCGTAGCGTTGCTTTACAAATTACTCAATGTAATCCACATGTATTTAATTCAATTTCATCCACACTTTGGAGCAACATATATCCTAATTGTAACATTGAAACAAGTATTTTCTATACATGCTTTGAAATAATATGTATTGTGAATGAAATTGAATTGAATGTAACAGCTACATTTACATGCACAGCTCTCATTTTTTACGTTCATCTGCAATGCAGTTCATGGCATAAGAATAATATTTTTCTATTAAACGTGCAAAATTACTTTACTTTAATTAGTTACCCCAGACTGTCCATCTCATTACATTTCTTGTGCGATATTGATAAGCATGATTGTCCTGCTGGTCTTTGAAAGCAACTCGTTTTGTCTGTTGGCATTATTACTACTTATTAAAATGGCTCCCCTGCAGCATGCAGGCTGTTAGCGAGCTAAATGAATTTCAGGTGCTTCAGTAGCGGATAAAGGAAGTTGGATAAAGAGGTATATCTCTCCCTGAGGCCAAGCATAGTGGTGTGGGTTACCTCTTTTTCAACTCGTTGCAGGCTCTTCCTCTTTGTTAGGATGTTGCAAGATTGTGTTAAGAACACTGAGTGGAGCAGGTCATTAGAGGACTAGTGACATGGCAGGATTGTGTGACGGGTGAGAGAGGAAGCTTGAATAACAGAGCTCGATACTGTAAATATCACTTTTAACTATATGGTGGTTACTAAAAATGTTTCTCTTTGCCCTCTGCACTGCATATTCATACACTTATGATGCCATAAAATAAGTGTTGCTTTAAACATTTCACCTTAATGTAATGTATATTTTTGGATATGACGACCTGTGCTTCACGGCATCGGGGACATTTTTGCACCATTAGAAGGTGTTAATTTAAACCTTGGTTGATAAACAGAACCCTTGATTAATTTAAAGATTGTCATAATGAAACAATATAGGATTTGATCTGCCATTCCTTAACGCTTTCAAACCCAAAACATTTCGAAAAGCTCTGTGGCCATTGAAATTAGCGGTACAGAATTGAAAATGTATTTAAAAACCCAGTAATAACCATTTTGTTATATGGAAAAGAGCATTTGATAATATTTTGATCATTTATGATCGTTAACAGAATTTTTAATGCAAATTATCTGTGTAAAGCCGCGGGAGCAAAATGTTACAGGCCAAAGGGTCCATTGTCTGTTGTCAGTAGTGTAGCAATATATGAAGCACAGCTCACACAAAAGTCACTTTCAAATCCAGCAAATTTCTTGAGGTCAGCGAGGTGAATTTGCGTGAAACCAGTGCAAATCATTCGCCCTCACAGTATCTTATAATTTTATTTTAATTAATTAATTAAATATTCTGGCTAATAATTGAGTTGTATACTGAATCCGAGTTTCTGTACATTTTGTAAGATAGTCAAAGCGGTTATTCATTTAGGAATGTCAAAAATTAAATTGTTTGCACAATATTCCTGATCCTGGATATCTGCTGATTCGTACTGAAATGAATATTTGCAGAACAACAGTAAGTGTGACTGAACCTTAAGGCACACCATATTTAGACAAGTAAATGGGATTTCTGTGTGTTTTACACACTATTTAAAAACAATCATGCTTTACTTAATTGTGAAACCTAATTATCAGAGACAATTTTTTTATATATTTTGCAAGTTTGCATTCAAAATATACTTGACTCTAAAATCTGAGAGGGCATGTGCTTCTATGTGTCTATAATTGCCACAGGGGTCACGGGGCCTTTCACACGTATTTAACACCTGTAAACACTTCTTGTATTGAAGTTCTTCCTAATTAGTGCGTGAACACGGTATCGCTGTCTACAATTTAACATCAGTTATTTGTAAGATAGTGTAAGGTAGGCTATGGCACAGCTCAGTATCTTAAGTTTCAAGATGAAGAATTGTTGGTTTGTTCTGACTCAAACTTCCTTTGAAATAGAGAGATTGTTATGGTGGAAAGCTTTCCCTCTCTTCTCACTCCCTCTTCCAGCTGTGTGACAGAAGCAGGTGGTTGCCCCTGCATTTGCTCTCTGACCATTTGCACGGGAAGGGATACCTCACAAAAAGGCTATTTTCCTCGTCCTGCAGACCATATTCAAGAACGCTGACTAGTTTTGACTATTGACGCATACCCTACAATCTGGGGTATGTTTAAAGGGTAACTTCACCCCCCAAAAATGAGACTTCTGTCATCAATTACTTACCCTCATGTTGTTCCAAACCCACATGATTTTCATTTGTCTTTGGAACACAAATGATCCAGGAGGTGTTCCACAAGTGTTCCTGGGGCTCAGTGGTAGAGCATTGCATTAGCAGCGCAAAAGGTCGTGGGTTCAATTCCCAGGGAACACACATACTGGTAAAAAATGTATAGCCTGAATGCACTGTAAGTCGCTTTGGATAAAAGCATCTGCTAAATGCTTAAATTAAATGAAGATATTTTTTAAAGGGGTCATATGATGCGATTTCAATTTTTCCTTTCTCTTTGGAGTGTTACAAGCTCTTGGTGCATAAAGAAGATCTGTAAAGTTGCAACGACTACAAAGAGATATTCTTTATAAAAGATAAGAGTCAACCACGCCTACCGAAAACGGTTTGTTCTATCACGCCCACACATGTCTATGTCACGATGTGGGAAGATTTGCATAATGCCACCCAAATGTTCACGCAAAGAAAGAAGGCATAACTTTTATTCTCTCTGTAGTATTGTTGCTGCCGCCTACCTATTCCTGTTGCTCTTTAAAGCTCTGTGATAATTTTATAACAGACAATTAGTTTGAAGTAATTTATTCTACACCTGCGAGTGTGTGACCCTTGAATACTTTAATTGCTTTAATTATTTGATTACTGTGCCACATTTCATGCTTCTTTTGTCTTGAAAGACTTTTCAGGTTGCCAGCCCCTCTGCCGAAGACAACATTTTACCTCAGCCCAAAAATCACTGATTACATGCTTGTAACCAAATGATTACACCTTGGTTTTGTATGAATTATTATATTTTAATCATTATTTTTATAGTATATGTGCATTTAGGAATATTTGTAAATATCTCTGTAAAGACCGGTCTTTAAAGTCAACAGTGTTCACAACAGCAAGCTATTTAAGATAATGAATATGGGAGTCTGCTTATTAAATTTAACATTAATATAAATAGATCTATAGTCGACATTTGTCCCCATACTCATTGGTTGGTTGGTAATTGGACAATTTCATGTGCTAGAAAAGCTGTACCTGAACTGCTCACCCAAGCAGTAGTGATGTGGCACAATTAATTACAAACTTAAGTCACATAACGCCAGTTACGTATGTAACTGTGGTTCTATGAATTCCGGATGACCGCCAGAGGCGGTGCTTCAGCACTAGCGGATTATCGCAGCGCCAGCTCGATAGGTCGAGATAATATACCAAAAAAGTCACGTGGTGACGTAGGCTGAGCCTTGAGTATAATAGACACACTAGCTCAGCCTTCGGTCTTCCTCGCGCATTCCGAGTGACAAACAACTCTGGCGATCATCCAGAATTCACATAACCACAGTTACATACGTAACTTGCGTTCTATTTCATTCCTCCTGACCGCCAGAGGTGGTGCTTAAGCACTAGTGGATGACTCCTACCAACATAGTCATGAGGAATGCCACTCACTTGAAAAAAAGTTCAAGGTTGCTCCTGAAGAACTGCTGAACTGACAGCATGAGGGGCAGCAACGTTGAGCTTGTAGAAGTGGGCAAAAGTACACGGGGAAGCCCACGTAGCAGCAGCACAAATATCTGCCATAGAGACTCCTCTGAAAGCAGCCCAAGATGTAGGCACAGCCCTGGTGGAATGACAAGAGATACCATCTGGCAAAGGTTTTTGGGCCTTCTTATATGCCAAAGAGATAACCTCAACAATCCAATTTGACAATCTCTGCTTTGAAACAGTGGTCCCTTTCCTTGCACCACCATAACAAACAAAAAGCTGATCTGTGCTAAAATGGACTGTAGCAGTCACATATCCCTTCAGGGCTCGCACAGGTCACAAGGGGTGATCCCCTAAATGATCTGACTGTGGTGCTGACTGAAAAGCCGCTAAACTGATTGACTGATTTATAAACTGCGGAAGCAGAACTTTAGGTAGAAAATAAGGATTTGGTCTGAGCACAACACCAGAATCATCCGGCAACCAACACATACATAACTCAATGTAACGAACTTAACGGATAATGCATGTAACTCACTTACACACTTAACAGATGAAATTGCCAACAAAAAAGCAGTCTTTAAAGATATCCATTTTAGGTCAGCTGTCTGGAAATGCGCAAATGGTGGCAGACAGACAAAATCAAGAACAAGTTGCAAATCCCATCCAGGAAAATGGGGGTTATGAGCTGGTCTCAGCCGTCTTGCACCCTTCAAAAAACTGCACACGAGATTATGAGAACCAAGAGAAGAACCATTAACCTTAACATGATGCGCAGAAATAGCCGCAACATATACTTTCAGCTCCAGGAACTTCACAGTGTACAGGATCTAACCCATGCTCCTCGCACCACAACGAGAAAATCCTCCAACGAGCTGCATAGAGCTGACGTGTGGATGCAGCTCTAGCACTAATTATCGTACGAACAACAGCGGGCTCAAAATCTGTTAAGAGACGGTCGGCCCCAGACGAAAAACCCAAAGCTGCAGACGGGCCGGATACGGATGCCAGACAGTGACGTTCATCTGTGACAACAGATCCTTCCAAAACGGAAGCTGCCATGGCCTGCCCACCAACAGAGACAGAAGTATGGAGAACCAAGGCCTGACTGGCCATCGAGGTGCTACCAGCAACATTCTGTGGTTACACAGAGATACCCTGTGTAATGTGTCCCACAGAAGTGGAAAAGGAGGAAAGGCATAAAGCAGACAGTTTGGCCACTCATAAGAGAGAGAGCATCCTGCCCCAACGGGCTGGATGTCTCTGTTCTTGCAAACCACAAGCGACAGTGAGTGTTCACCTCTGTTGCAAAAAGATCCACTTCTACTTTGCCAAACTGTTCCCATATCCACTGCACCACATCATGGTGAAGCCTCTATTCCCCTGGGTGCAGAAGATCCCTTGACAGAGCATCTGCTATCTGATTTCTTGATCCCGGGAGGTGAACTGCCCTCAATGATGCTTGTCAAGGTAGAGACCAAGTGAGTATCTTGTGGGTAAGATGCAGAGACTTGAGGGACTTTGTTCCACATTGATGGTTCAGGTGAAAAACTGTTGAGGTGTTGTCAGACCGAATGAGGACATGACGGCCTGACAGAACTGGCAAGAAATGCTGCAGGGCTAGGAAAACTGCATGCAAATTCCAGGAGATTGATGTGGTCCCTGGACCGAGCTGGAGACCACTGGCCACAAACGCCCCTGTGATTCCATGATGCCCCCCACCCGAAGAGGGAAGAGGGAAGTCGTAATGACCTCTCGCCGAGAAGGAATGACCCTTAGAGGAATACCTGACATCAGAAACTCCCGGCGATTCCACGGTATCAATGCCTAGACACAACTGCGTGAGACAACAATCAGCCGTTGAAGATGTCTTACAGGGCACAACCGCAAACTGTTGTTCCACCACTGCAGAGGCCTGAGGTGGAGCAAGCCGAGTGGAATCACCGAAGTGGCGGCGATC